CTTGCGGAGGAAGTTATTGATCAGTCTGAGCGCAGTATATTTCAAAAATGGGACCTTTGCAGCTTGTAATCATGATGAGAACTGTTGTGTTGAAAAACAGTGATTTCTTGTGTGAGCTGCTATTTTACTAGAGGTATCAACCATATGTTCAAGGCTGGGCTGTAAATCTTTTATATTGGGAAGTCTAGATCGTGCAAAAAGGTCAGTAGTGAGGGTTTTACAGATTCCTAGTTTCCTAGTAGTCAGCAAAAATAAATTGACCATTTCCTGATGAATGCACATTTGTTGCATTGCACATTTATTCCTTGAATACATATGCTTTTCATGCCATTGTTTGTCATTGTTTTATCTACTTATCTAATTTTGTGCATTAAAAAAAACAAAAAAAACAAAACAAAACTTTTAAAATAAAGATGCATTTATGCGTATACAGTCAATTTCAAAATATGCTTAATTGCCTCAGATTAAAATCTTATTTACTTAAATATAATTTCAGATCCGTATTAATCGCCTTTTCCTACACCTGCCTGCAAGTACTCTGCCACTTCAGTCCAGCTGTAATCTGCAGCATAATGTAACCAGTAGGGGTTAGTGTCGAGACAGCGGGAGAGGGCAAAAATCCATCTTCCTTCTAATTTGAGCGTATGTGTATCATAGCGCTAAACTGTCATCAATACAATCTCCTCTGGTCCCCCCAGGCTGCAGAAGAGCAGAGAAATGTACTACAGTTTAGGCTTTTTCCTGACTGGCCATGCCAAATCATAGCAATTTATTGCATTTAACGGATTTTTAGAATAACAAAAATGCTTTGTTTATGAAATATTTATTTTTTATGAATCAATTTCACCCTTTAGAACATCCCTAAAGGAGGATTGAGTCCAATTTAACAAACTTCTCGGCCCAGTTTTGTAATTGAAAACTAACATGCTCTTGCACACTTCTGGTTTTCAATCATAGTTGGAACTTTTCATTTAATACTTTTTACTGTTTTGGTACCAAGCTAATGATATTTTCACTTTGATATCTCCTAACTTCATCTAAACAACCTAACCCTCATGAAAACGTTTTACAATTTTTTGTATTCAGTACCGTTTTCAGATCTCAACTGTGTGTGTGTAGGTGTTTTTTGACCCTAACACTTATCATAAAACAGCATGTGATCATCTAAACCTCCTCCCGTTTCTGCTAAAGAAAGGTATCCCATTGTTGCAGCCCATGTGCGCTGATGTGTGAGGATGTGGTTATCCTTGCTGGGCTCCTGCAGTTTTGTCCCTGTCAACATAGAACGCCTTGTCTGGTCACAGCATCCTCGCACACCTGGATGACAGGAGAATAAATGCCACTGCTGCACGCGTGCACGCAGGGCCGTTTCTAGCCAATTTGACGCCCTAGGCGAAATCCCTATCCCCCCCCCCCAATTATATATATAATGTATATATATAATTATTTTCAGACACCAGTTGCTTGTCACATTCAAATTGGTTGTCATAGTAACGACACTAATTTGTGGAGATTCAGTGCATTGAGTTCCACAAATCTGAATGCATTATTTGTAAATTGACTGTTAAGATAAACATTTTGCACAATTTAGTATCTGTAATATCATTGTGTTGCCACTAGATGCCTGTATAGCCCTATGTAACAATCCCTAGTGGCTAAGACATTGCACATAATTTACACATAAATCACACATAAATTAATTTTATTACATTTTGATTTGGATACTATATACTATACTACTACATTTAAATTGATATTATCAATGGCTACTTTTTTGTCTTTATCTGTTTTTTTCAATTTTTTTGTTGTTGTTTCTTGAAACATTGATTTAAAGTGTCAGTTATTGCATTATTATTTCAGTCAAACCTATAAAACCCCTTTGTTACCCCAAACTACATATAAAAGCTTTATCAGTGGCATAAAAGTAACCAATGCAGCTACTTAATCATTTGCTACTCGTTAACGCGTTAACGTCCCCTTTAAATAACGCGACGCTCTGCCCTCTATGACGCTGCTCCCATTAAGCGCTGTTGGAAGTGAATGAATTGATTCAGCATTTCGACACCTCCGTAAG